ATTTATTTTATGCATACAAGAACTGGGGTGTAGGCCAGAGGTGCAGAGAGGGTAAAGGAAGGAGAACAGATTCACCAGAGACAGTGGGAGAACAGGCAGATCTGCACAGATACACTGATGAGGGGAGCAGTGCCTGAGACAGGACCGTGTGGGTCAGCTCCCTGGCACCTTTTGGGTCAGCTCCCTGGCACCATGTTGGTCAGCTCCCTGGCAGGGGATTGAATTTATGCTACAGTGGCTGGAGATAGTTTGATAGTGCTGAGACTTTAACCCCTATGCCACCAGGGAGGACGCTACTTTAATATTTTTGATATCCCTTTGTACTTTACTTCAAAAAGCTCAAAACAAGTAGTTCACAATGAGAAGATAATACCTTGTTCTCCTTTACTTCAAGGCACCTCAATTTATTAAGTTTTTTTTCTAACTTCAGGTAGGAAGCAAAATATATAGATGATCTGAAAGAAGTGGGACTAGCTAGAATAGATATTTACACAAATTGTAGATTTGAATTGTAAAGGCTTTCTATACTTAATGTGCACCAAGAATCCAAGACAGGTTTAGAAGCATTATAGGCTTCCAAACCAGGTAGATGGATTTATGATCTTCCAAACTCTCTTATGTTTATATAACCTGGTAGTTGAAGTCTGAAGTCACTGCTAATGGTTGATGAACTTTCCTTTTTCAGGACCAAAATGTCTTTGACTCCAAAAAGAAGGTGAAATTAACCAATGCAGAAGGAGTAGAGTTTAAACTTTCCAAGAAACAATTGCAAGCTATAGAATTTAACAAAGCTTTACTTGCTATGTACACAAACCAGGTAGGTTACAGGTGTCTGATTCCCTTGCCAGCCCTTTTGGAGTCTGCCATGAATAGTAATAACAACCTAGCCTCTTTTTTTTTTCCATTTTGTATTTTGTATTAACCTGTGTATTCTGCAGAATGTCATAGATTTTACTTAATTCTTTACAGTTGGTTTTTAAAAAGAAGAAAATAGTATTCCCATTTTTAAATGTGATCAATTTGTCATTATCTTGTTTCTAATCTTACACTAATCAAATTAAGAATCATCAAAGATGTAAGACATTTGATAGATAAAACACCCTTTTTGTTTGTTTTTGCATTGCATTTCACTTATAGTAATATCATGCTATAAATCCTGAGGTCATTTTTCTTAATTCTAATAGAATTATAATTTCATAACTTCTGAGTAGAGGTTTTCAGGTTTCGTTGAGAAAGTGAAAGTCACGTTTTCATTATTTAGAACTGAAGCAAGATAGTCTCAGATACTTTACACGAAATGACTATTTTGTTGTTTTGAATTAGTGATACTTGATGTATCTTTTTAACAAAATTCTGGAATTTAAGTATCCAGATAAATGTTATAATTTGTCCTTCCTTAAATGTTTTTAGAATTTCTAATTTAAATTCAGTACATACAGGGAAAAGTAGTTCTTTGTTTATTATTATATTCAGTAGATTTCCTTCCTCCTCCACGGACCCTTTTCTCTTTGGTCATTTCATATGTAATTTTACTGACCAATTTGGGGGGGGGGTGCATGGGAAATGCTGTCTTTTAGGCAGAACAGTGCCGCAAAATATCTGCCAGTTTACAATCCCAAAGTCCTGAACACCTCCTGCCAGTGTTAATCCAGGCTGCCCAGCTCTGCCGTGAAAAGCAGCACACCAAAGCAATAGAGTTGCTTCAGGTAAAGGAATTACTTGGTTTTGGTTTTTTTTTAAAGACTTATTTATTTGTGCATACAGAACTGAGGTACAGTCCAGAGGTGCAGGGGTGGTGAGAGGTGTCACCAGAGACACAGTGTGGAGCAGAACAGGCAGGTGGACTGAAATACACTGCTGAGGGAAGCAGTGGGTGGGTCAGGAGAGGTCTGCCACACCATGTGGTCACCTCCGGGGCAGGTGGGAATCGAACTCATGCGGAGCGGCTTTAGATTCTCAGTGCTGTGCTTTAACCCGCTGCGCCACCAGGGAGGGCCCAAAGTAAGTTATTTTTATCTGATTTATAATTAGGAGTGTGTGTGAAGCACTGAATTATCTGTCTTCATGTTGTAATATATTTAACTTGCTTCAGACAGCAGATATTTATTTTTTACTAATTCAGAATAGTACTGGATGTAATAGATAATACAAAGGAATATGAAATATGGTTTAATCACTACATAGTTAAAATCTCATTCTGGTGTTGGAAAAAAAAGTGTCCATGTTTTAATTTCTTGTCTTAAAGCTGTAGCACTTGGTGAAAAGATCTCTGGGTTGGTAAATTTGAACTGACCCTGGAGAACGGATACAGTTTGAAGGCTAAGCAGCAATATAAGCAGATGAACGTATGAATATTTAGGACTTGTTTAAGGAATGTGAGAAAACAGAAGATAGGACACTGGATTGCTGGCTCTTTTAAAATAAGTATGCCTGTTTAGGAAAAAAAAAATGCTAGATTTAATGATATATCCAAGTATGATAGGCCTTGAAAATCAAATTTTTGAATAGTGACATTATCGCAGAGTTTAAGAAATGTCTGACAGTGGCATGATCAAGTATTAAATAGGGAGGAAAGATTGATTGGAAATATGATTTCTGGGAGATTGATTTATATGACAACCACTTTCTTGCTGTACACTAAAATAACTTCACAATATATTGTTTAAACTAGAAAATAGTGCATATAGTAGACATGGTCAGTTTGTGTTTCTTGGGATGCATGTGACTAAATTGTCTTCCTTGAAAGGTATGTGATTTGCTATAATTCTTAAGGACTTTAGACAGGTAACACTGTACTTGGTCCATACAGAAATGGAAGTTCTTTTACAAGCCTCTGCCTAGGTGAAAAAGACCTAAGAAAAACAGTAGATGTGGCATATTTAATATTTTCTGCTAATAATAGTTTCAAAATAGGTAAGAATCTATTTCTGAATTTTTTTTTTTAAAGATTTATTTATTTGTGCATACAGAACTGGGGGACAGGCCAGAGGCTCAGGGGCAGTGAGAGGCTTCACCAGAGACAGAGTGGGGAACAGAACAGGCAGATGGAC